AAACAACAACAAAAAACATCAATACCATCAACAACATAAAACATCAATAACAACGTCAACAACTACATCAACAATCACACTCCACTGTTGCTGTGATGTTTTAAAAATGTTTTTCTAGGGACAATGATGATGATGATGATTTCGCTGTTGTTATTGATGATGATGATGATGGTGGTGGTGATGATGATGGTAATGATAATGATGATGATAGTGATAAATAGCAGATTAACTATGATGATGTGGCAGATATTAATTAATAATTAATTATAATTATTATTGTTACTAACTATTATTATTTATTCACATAATTGATGTTTTGAAATAATGATAATGATGATGGGATGCAATGATGGTGATGATGATGGGATGCAATGATGGTGATGATGATGGGATGCAATGATGATGATGATGATGGGATGCAATGATGGTGATGATGATGGGATGCAATGATGGTGATGATGATGGTTGAAGCCATTAAGTTTAAAATGAGCAGAAAAAGGTTCATTATCGCTCTTTCAATAGGAAGCATGCGGGGATTAAATATACCTATTTTCATTCATTCACTCGTTTTTTGTTCATTTATCATATTTTCATTTGTTCATTCCAAATTCTTTTTATTCATTTGTTTATTTATTTGTTCATTCATTTGTTCATTTGCCTGCTCACTCAGTTGTTCATATATTATGCTATTATTTATTTATTCATTCTTTCGTTCATTTATCGTACTTTCCTTCATCCGGTCGGATTCATCCTCACACTCATTCATTCGTTCCTTCACTCGTTTATTTATTATATTTATATTTTTTAGCCTCCCTTTGTTTTTTTTAATACTTTGGTTTGTTCATTTGTTGTCATTTCCCTGGCAACACCAGCACATTAGCTCAGGCGGCAAGAGAGTCATGTTTCATGATGTTGTTACTGCTGCTGACCTGGTTCGAATGCCGTCTCAGCCCAATTCAACAACCTCTGTCATAACCCTTATTCGTATATTGCAGTGTTTGCCCAGATACGTGACGAAAGTGCGTGCGTGCTTAAGCTTCGTTGCACGACAACTTTGTTGAAACCTAAGAAGAGAGAATAAAAAAGGTTTGCATTTGTCGAAACTGCTGAATGAAAAATATAAATTCAGTTGTTCACCTGTTCATTTGTTTGTTTGTTTGGTTCGTTAGCGTGTTTATTTGTTTTTCGGGGTTTTATGATCAAATTTTTGTTGTTTTGATTTTTCACTGATCTTGTTATTTGTTCACACACTGAACGTTTGTTCATGTTCATACTTCATTGTCCCTGGAGGTTCGCACGTTCACCAACTCGCTTGATTGATTATTTGAGTACTTGTTCGTCTGTCCATACATTCATTCATTTTCTGTTTGACTGCTTGTTTCTTTGTTTTTATTTTTCGTTTGTTTGTTCATTCATTTGTTTTTTTCTGTTTGCTTGTTTATCGATATATCCATATTTTAACCATCCACCCATTGATGCATTCATCCATCTATCAATGCTTTCATCCGTGGATTCATCCATCCATCCCTTCATTTACACATGTATATTTCTATTGAACTTACCATAAAACTTGCAGTTAAGTTCAGCTTTTAAGTCAAGATGTTGGTGGGAAGGAACTTTTCTTCCAATAGTGGCGTAAGAGTAATAACCAAGTTGCAAAAAAAGTTTATTGATACAGTGATGAGAATGAATGTACATCATTCGTTAAGAAATTTGTTTTGTAATTAAGATGATGATGAAACTGGTTAATGACGTTATTCAAACTGAAAATGTTGAAGAAGATGTTGATTATGGTGTTGATGATGATGTTGGTGAGGATAATGAGGAAGGAAAGAGTGATGGTGATGGAGGAGACATTGGCGTGTTGTATTGAAACTGATAAGGTGGCTTGTTAGATGGAAGGTGATGCATGTGTTAGTGGGCGCTGAGGTAGCGGTGGAAGCATTGGTGGTGATGTTGATGGAGTGATAATATCAACAATAATGATGCAGAGATGAGGACTATAATTAGATATTGATAGATGTTACAAGTGGTGATGAAATGAAGTTATGAATGCATGCATTTTTTTGTACATGTGCATGTATGCATGTATGTATGTTTGTATATCTTTAAGTATGTATGGGCCCCCTAAAAAGGTTGATTTTAACCGGAGGTGGTGTTGGGGATAAACTCTCAGCATCTATAAAGTGCTTTCATAGAGTTTGCAATCTGACGTCGCGAATCAACCAATTCCTACTCCTGGCCTCCACGTGGTGGGGGATGGGTAATACTAGCAAGAGAGGGCAAAAGGCAAATAACTAACACCTTAAAATTAGTGTTCTGTTGGTTCTTTTGTGAGAATGTTTGTCAGCTTGATAAGTAACTCATCTAGAAAAGATGAAACTCTGATTTCAAACCATAGTATGTTCAGTTGTGCTTTAGGGACGGTTACACTACACTACAGTGCCGCCCAAACTGATGCGTCCACATGGTTGGTCATCGCGTCTCAACTCGTTGCGCCTGATAAAGTTGACCTTGTAGAGAAGAGAGTGTCGCATGTCTCACGAACATGCTCCACTTTAAACAGTTTATTGGGAAGGTTGTCATTGGTGGTTGTTATTGTGAGGGCAAAGTCTTGCGGCGGCTGAGGAGTAGCGACGGACACAAGTGGAGGATGCCACTGGAGGTGTTTAGCCACAAATCAGCACATAGGCGGTCTGTGAGGTGTAGATCGTTTATCGACTGAGAGCTACGGTGGTGTTTGGTGCCTGCTCCAGACAAAAAAACAGTCCTATTTAGAGACAAACAGTTTTCTTCAGGATTGAAGGAAGGACTAGAAAAAGTTGTCCTAAACATTGCTAGCTTTCCGTATCCTGGCAGCCTGTCGCGGTTGTCTAAACATCCTTCTCTGCAGTAAAAATATAAAAATTCTTAAGAGAAATACCTCGAACCTTGATGCTTGGAATGTACGCATAGTGATGGACAAGGAAAGTAGACATGAACATCGCTCTGCAATTGGGGATCGTGAGTTCGCCAGCTTTGGTATCGACATTGCACATAGCAAAAAAAGATTCTATGCTCTACTAAGTTCAAGTCTGAAATGTCTTTTATGATTGGACACTTGGACTTGATTTTTTAAAGTTGAACGGTCCAATATATAATTGTACGATTGGTCTCAAGTTTATTTGGACGATTGGTTCTTAAAGACATGGGTGATCCTAAACTTATTCAGATGGTTAAATTTCAACTGGTGTCAAGACAATTGGTTCAAATAAATATGGACCAAACGTCTTAGGAACTAACTGTAAGAAGTTGAAGAGGTACACATGCTACATAGCATGACTCGTTGCAATTTTCATTATTAAATGCTTTGAGCATCTGTCAAATTTAATATATATATATATATATATATATATATATGTGTGTGTGTGTGTATATTTATTTATATTTGTTAGTAATAGACTATAATTTTTACAATATTCTATCAAATGTTTGGCATTAATATGTTTGCGGTTTTTCGATTTTTCTCACTAAAGTTTTTTGGAGAACGTTTAGTTTATTAAAATTCAAAATAAATTTATAAAATAAAGCCATATTTCGATTCCGAATGAATCATCATCAGTGCAAGTTGATTTATATAGGAAAATATTTATTTCTTTATTGGCTGGTCCATCTTAGTTGGTTTCCTTTTCATCATCGATAGCATCATATTCTTCTTTGTCACTATTTACAATGCTAGTTTTTATTACTTCTTTGTTTTCATTGTTGATTAAGCGCCGGGATTACAAATATATTAACGCCAAACATTCGGTAGAATTTATAGAATATTGTAAAAAAATTTATATTTATATATATGTATATTATTTAATTATCATCGCGTTTTTATATTTATTTCATTCCTGGCTAAAGTTTGTGTCGGAACGTCGAATTAAACTATTTAAAGAAAACCCTTGGAAATTTACTAAATTTATTCAACTTTAATAATAAAACAATAATAAGAGATCTCGAAAAAATTATGAAGAGTTACAAATAACGTTATTGTCGCAATCGACTTTATTAAAATAGGTCTACAAATAGATCTCGAAAAAATTATGAAGAGTTACAAATAACGTTATTGTCGCAATCGACTTTATTAAAATAGGTCTACAAAAAGAACCATGAACAAACTTTACTAAGATACGTATACATACATATATATATATATACATATATATATGTACGAATAAATAAATAAATTTATATATGTACATAGTTATGTGCAGAAACTACATGCTGCTTGTACAAAATGTTGTTGATGATGTCAAATATTATATTTATATTCATAATAAATACATCACAGAAATATATATATAAATAAATAAATATTAGTATATATATATTATATGTTATACATTCAAATATTCATAATAATATTTATATATAATAAATTTACAAAAATATACATAATACATACATAAAAATAAACACATTAAAACATACAAATATACACATTAAATTCACACAAATACACATATATGCATGTTTTGCGCCAAATAACTTAATGAGGAATGGGAAGTATATTGAATATGACGAATGACGCTGAATTATGATTGTCAACATGCCAATTATGGAATGAATTTTTGTGACGTCACGTTAATGATGATAGACAGGTTGACATGCAGATGGTCTTCCATATTCGAAAAAGAATAATTTAAAAATACTTGCAAATAAACAAATAAGTTAATTCATATAATTATAAATAGTGTTTATATATATATATATATATATATTAAGGTGAGTCGAAATGTAAAAAATATTAAGTTGGAGATCTTGTACATGTCTAAAAAGTTGCTTTTTGATGTACTCGTTTGAAAAAACCTCACTTTTTATTTTATGGACAGTGTCTACAGGTCCCAACTCTGACTAGAAAGACTACATAAATACTCAATGTTAGTGTAATGTATTGCAATGTATTACAAACTAAAAAGAATGTAAACTGTAACGAATCAATGTTAAACAGCAACTATACAAAGTTGTTTAACCTAACTGTTAATAAAATCTTTCTTGCTGTCTATTATTGGTATCTCTAATCTGGATTTCTTACTCTGTAACACCATGCCATGACGGGACTTTCTCCCATAAACTTTACAGCTGGCAGCGCTAACGTCTTTAATTGTTCTCTCTACTGCCTGTGAATGACATGGAACATCGGGCAGTAGTATTGGATGTGTGTAAGTAAGTTGATCATTTGAAAGGTGTGATAGCATCGGAGGAGACGTAACATTTCTCTGGTCCCAGTCAATCATGTTAATGAACGATGTCGCAGCCAGATTTAATGTTATATCCTTCTTATCAAAGACGCGAACCGGTATGTTACTATTAGTCTGCTTCTCTCTTGCTCTTATTATTTGTTCTACTGAAAAACGACAAATTTCCATATCACTATCACTAAATGCAGCTAAAAGAATGTTTTCAGCATGCGCAAAGTAGCAGTTATTTTTGAGAACAGGACGAACCACAGCCTGATCTAAGGCATCAAGTTCCCGAAACAACTGAACTAAGTAAAAGAAGTTGTTAGCACCATTTCGGCAAGAAGAATTTGATTTAATTTTGAACCAAGAGGGTCCGTAAAAGTTCAAAATGAAATGCGTTACTCTTCTGAGAGGTTCAGATGCCACTTCTCTAGACATGTAAAGACGCAAAATCCTGTTGGCTTTCGTCAACCATCGAGCATGACTTATATTTCCAGGTAAACTCTTCTCGAGGAAATCAATATCTGTAGAAGCCTGACGTCCACGCTGTACTGCTAGACATGCTTTCAAAAACTACAGTTGGTCTGTGCTAAGATCCTTCTTGACAGCTTCATCACAATCAGTCACCTTACCAGTAATTGGCAAATAATTAACGACAGGCAATTCATTTGGATCATATTCTAGAGCTGAGCTAATTGTACCTGTCGATGTGGAAGGTCCTGTAGTTCGAGCAAAATCCACGCCTGCCAAAAACCTTCTAAATGGCAGCTCGTTACAGTGTGGAAGGCATACCAACCACTGTAATGGTCTACCTAAGTTCTCCTCCAGTTAAATGAAGTGATTTATCTACAGTCTAGACTATAGCCTACTGTAGTATACATCTATATTAGCCTACTTGAATTTTACTATAGATCTATTATTGCAAAGAAGAAAATAAAATTACAAAATAATATATTAGATATTTTGCTTGTTTCTAAAAAATCCAGCACATGGTTTGTTGTTAATGTTGGTGACGTCACATGCAAATAACGTTATAAAATTTACTCCATTTCTTTTTTAACACTTGTAGTTAGGTGCTAAGCCATTTGCCAATGCATTTTATTCAATGATTTATAGTTGGTACGTATTTAGATTGTACCAAGGAAATGGTTAAAATACACCAAATAAGGTAAGACTTTAATCAAAAGTTGGGACCCCTAAACGTTTCATAAAAAATCTTTAAATATTATTTTCATACTGTACTGATGCCAAGACAACTTTTTGTTCACGTACAGAAAAGATAAAAAAATTCGACCCACCCTAATATATATATATATATTTTTAAATATCAAATTTTATAAATTTAAACTTTCTTAAATCTTATATAAGTTAACTTTTAATTGATTAATGCAAATAATTTGGTAGAATTCATACAATACTACATAAAATATGGTTTTCCTATATATATATATATATATATATATATGTATGTATACATATATATATGTATATATTATATATATATATATATATAGAAAAAAATTGTTATCTATTAAATTAATAATTCATTTTTTGAAACTAACTAAAGTTAATGAAGTTTTAACGCCAGAAGGTAAGGATGATAATAATTTCATACCGTAAATAAAAATAGAATGAGAATATAAAACTGTTCAAAAATTAGGTACATAAAAATCAGGTATATGTCGTGTTGGTTTCTGAATTACTGCATTACTGCTGAAGATTGCATTACATTTTTGAAAAAATATTGATATTTTTTTTAAAATAATCATTCTATTAAAAAAATAACATAATTTTAAGAATATAAAGATTGTAAATAAATAAAATTTTGGATTTTCTAAAAAAAAGGTAATATGCAAATCAAATCAAAGGGCAATTTATAAAAAATTTTAAAATTCTAATAAAGTAATTTTGGTAAATTTCAAAATGAATGAGATTTGTAACAATCTTAGGGCCGAATGGTATGCACTTTGTCCTTTAAAAATTTATTTTTAAACCATTTGCTGACAACATTCAAAAATTCATAATTCAACAGAAAAACCAAATCAGGCAATGATTTGCCTTTTGCCAAAATTAATATGAACTTTAATCAAATCGATGATAGAAATTAATCCATAATCAAAAAAATAACAAAGGACCCTAAATTGATTTCTGAGGGACGCCGCATTCTACTGAAAATAAGGATGAATTACATTCACCAAGCGATGCGTATTGTTTCTTCCAGACAAATAGCTCTCAAACCATACATTTCCTCTCACACCTGCACTGAGGAGTTTATTCAATAAAATCATGACGAACTGTATTGAATTCTTTAGCAATGCCTATAAAACACCTATAATAAAAAACTTGGAATCAATATTTTCCATGACATATTGATTCATGTCTAAAATAGCCAACTCTGTGGAACAATTTTTTCGAGAAAACACCTTTAGATAATAAAAGATTTATACAATGTGAAAGAGGAATAGTAATTGATGTCATGGTTTGTTTAATTATAAAAATGCCTGAGAAGTGGAATTTTCAAGTTTAATATAACATTTTTTATTTCATCTATTGTGACATTAGGTAAAGAGAAATTTAATGGTGGTAAAATTCAGCTTGTCATCGGTTAATTTATCAATAATTTCAATTATCTAATTATCTTAAGAAATTTATTTAAATTATTTTTATTTATTGTTTGTTTAATGATTCACCAAGTAAGTTTTTCTAACTTATTTTTAACATATTTTTTTTCCAGCAAAACGCTTTATTGAAATAAACGAATTTTTATATGTAGTCTAATTTACTTTATTAATTGTAGTATGTTTTTTTTTAGATAAATACAATAGAATTTATTTTTTATTTCAGCCGATTTTAAATTAACTGTTGTTATGCAGGGACGCTTTTAGTTGAGCCTAAGTTCAATTAAAGGACAATGTTCCAGAATTTGTTTCTGAAAATTATTTAAAGAAGTGGAAAAAGCATTGTTAACATCCTTATCTTCCAAAACAGGTTGTCAATTGAAATTGGAAAGTGTTTTTTAGAGCATTTAAATTATGTTGAGAAAAATCACAAAATTAACAAAGTTTGTCAGCATTTGGTGGGCGTTTGTCAAAACTAAACGCCAAAACCGGAAGGTGATCAGAAATATCGCTATAAATAATTCCAGATTTATGATCAGAAAAATTATTAGTGAAATTATTGTCTAATAATGTTGAGGTGGAGTTTGTAATTCGAGTTGGCTCGGTAATTAATGCTAAAAAATTTATCGAACTGAATGAGTTTAAAAATTGTAAAGAAATGTTACGATGATCGTCATTCAATAAATTGGTGCTAAAATAACCTGCAACATAAATGAGTTTGCCATGTGACTTTGACTGATTACCATTGAGAAAGGTAACAATATAATCGATAAACCAATTGGGGTCTTTATTAGGAAGACGATATACAACAAACAAGCTGTCGGAACAAAATTAAATCACCATCCAAATAAAACGATTGTTGAAAAAATAACAAAACCCAAAATATCGCCTTGAAACGGCCTTAAAACGACATTGTTCTCAGGCGTTTACTGTAGAAAGAGCTTTTTTGGAATGGAGACACATATTGCTATCAATTTTTGCCATATTTTATAAATCAGCCACCCCTAATAAATTTTAAAAAAAACTTTTGTCGGAACAACATTACAAATTTCTCTCGACAGTCCCCAAAAACTACATAAATTTTCAACAAAAAATAAGACGTTAACTCGTCGAGACGTTTCGGAAAACTATGCATGTTTATATTATATATATAGCTATACATGAATACCTATAAAATTGCTTACATGCATACAAATATGATGCAGCAACGAAATTTTGAAAACCCATAAATTGACAGAGAAGCGCAAAATAAAATTCTGCAACTTAACATAAAATTTTTTAAATAATAAAACAAACGATGCGACTCTCAAATAAACTAACTTGAAAAACAAACACAAAAACAAACAAATACGCAAACAGACATACAAACAGACATTCAAGCCAACATAAAAGCATACAAACATACCAGCAAACATACAAACAAACATACAAGCAAATTTATAACACAGCGAACATATAACAAAGCACCTTGTAAAATTAAGACGATGCAAAAGAACAAATGTGTAAAGTCATAAAGCTCGCATGCACTCGCGGACAAAACAACACAAGTACAGATATATGCAACTTAAACATACTATAGAAGAAACTATAAATTGATTCATCTATAAAATGAAACAAACGAACGAACAAACAAACAAACAAACAAACAAAAAATACAAATCATAAACAAACTGACAATCATATGTAAAATGTTACAAAAAAATGTACAAACGTACGTTCAAAATTACAGACTGCGAAAACATATACACATTATACAAACAACCAGGCATACAATGAACACCACCGGCAACATACAAACGAACGAGTAGAAAAACACGCATAGAAGCATGCGCACATACATGCAAATATACAAACAACCATACAAACAAACATACAAACAAACATACACATACAAACAAATAAACAAGCGCATATACACGCATGGATTAACGATGCATACATTTTAATGAACCCGGCATATGCCCGCTATGTTGTGCTATCTGTGATGATGACGATGTCCATGGTGATGATGATGATGATGATGTTCATGGTTATGATGATGATGTCCATGGTGATGATGATGATGATGTTCATAGTGATGATGATGATGACGATGTCCATGGTGATGATGATGATGTCCATGGTGATGATGAAGATGATGTTCATGGTGATGATGATGATGTTCATCGTGATGATGATACTAACAACGAGAAACAACCAATGCATCACGTAATCAGTTAAATAATTAGCATTTAGTTGTTCATTGTTCAGTCGTTTAGTTGTTCATTCAACATTGATGCGTGAAAATAAAATACAACAAACAAAACAACAACATCAACATCGACAACAACATCAACGAAAACATCATCATTATCAACAACAACATCAACAACACCAACATCATCATCATCATCAACAATATCAGCAGCAACAACAACATCATCATCATCAACAACAACAGCAACAACATCATCATCAACAACACCAACATCATCATCATCATAAAATTATTATTATTATTATTATTATTACGTTAATAATATTAATATTTACATTGTTTCAAAACTTTAAATATTATCTCTGGTTTATTTTCTCTGCAATCTATTCAGCAAGCTGAAACTGGTGGTACCACCGGCGTCCACACCACGACCACCACAACCACCGCCGTTAATAAGAGCTGCACCACCACCATCACCATCACCACCATTGTTATTATAATTATCAGCGCCATTGTTGTTGTCATCATCACCAACGCTGCTCCGCGGGTTTTCCCCACTTCCACAGCTATGTACCGCCAACTCAAAAGACCTTCGCCTGGTTAGAGTCTGGCCGTGAAATTCGAGGGACGTTTCGCATTGAAAGGCACATCTAGGGTTCCTCTTCATTCTCGATGGTTCCATCATTTTATACCATTGTGTCGGACTGAAATATGTTGTTGTTGTTGCCGATGTTGTTGTAGAAGATGTTGTTGTTGTTGGTTGTTGAATGATTGGACTCAATGCAAAGTTAACTTTTAGCTTGTTGTTATTGATGTTTGTAGAAGGCAACGATGAAGACGTTGTTGTTGTTGTTGTTGCTGATGTTGACGCAGTTGGTTGTGTTGATTGGTCGTTTTTTATGTTTGTCAAAAATTTAGTTGATAATCTTTTAAACGTTGCCTGTATGAATGTTGGATGTTTTGAGCTTTTTGAGGCTGACGCTGACCTCGATGTTGTTGACGCTGACGCTGTAGGAACTGCTGAAGTTGTTTTAGTGCAAGTGGCGTTATTACTAGTAGCTGCGGTAGCTGTTGTGATATTTGCTGTAGCTGTTGTGGTAGTGGTGGTAGTTGATGTTGTTGCTGCAACATTTTTTGTCAACGTTGATGTTTTGAAAGTTTTCTGCCTTTCTAATGACATCGTTTTACATTTGTTGCTGTTGTTGTTGTTGTGGTTGATGAAGTTTTCAGTTTTTAAACTGCATCTCTGTTGTTGTTGTTGATAAAACTGTTGTTGTCGATTCTGTTGGTCATGACTGTGAAAGTTTTGACTGTGTTGAGGAACCGGTTGTTGTGATGTTTCCTGACAACAAATTTGTTTTACATTATTTTTTAATTGATAAACATGTTGTTGTTGATGTTGTAGTTGATGTTGCTCAATCTGTTGGTTACACAATTGTTGTTTAAATAAATGGTAGTTAGATTGATGTGCACATTTTATTATTTGTTGTTGTTTTTGTTGTTGTTGATGATAAAGTTGTAGAAGTTGTGGAGGTTTTTGATGTTGTTGTTGAGGATGCAATCTTACTAAATAGGCTGCGTTCAAATTTTCTTCGTAATTGAATTGAAAATCATCAGTGGTTGGCAAGATGGTTTTTGAGGCTGGATGGTTACTTGCTGGCATGAACGATGGCGGTTCAAGAGTTATCCGAACTGTAGATGCGCGTGGCAACGATTGTGAAGTTGCAGAGGAGGTTTCAAGTATTTTTTCTTGATGATGTTGTTGTGTTGGATAAGAAAAATACTTTGATGTTGTTGCAATGTCAGGTGGTTCACCTTTCTGCAATTGTTGATTGTTTTGATTAGTTTGCAGTTGTTGTTGTTTCCACAGAACGGTTGTACTTGTCATAGGTGACGTCACTGATGACGTTGATGAACATGGTGAGGACAAGAAAGAAGCTGACATGTGAAGATGATGATGATGATGTTTGTGTTCTTGCTTGGATATCGATGGTAGCGAAAAGGAAGAAGATGATATATGCTGTAATTGTTGCTGTGAACATTGCTGATGTTGTTGTGGTTGTTGTTGGTAGTGTTGTGGCAGATGTTGTTGCTGTTGTTGGCATTGTTTGTAAAAAGTCGTTTCTGTTGGAGCAAATACATAATAATTTTCTTTCATCTCTTCATTCAGCAATTTAAGTTTGGTTTTCTTTCCTTTGTGTTGCATTTGCAAGTTAGGTTGCTGTTCCTGGGACGACATCTGCTTATTAAAAAACAAATTTTTCAATTTGTTTCTTTTACAAGAACGGCCAGTTTCGACGATTGAGCAGGTAGGATCCACAACCACTTTCTCCAACTTGCAGACCAAGCCGTTCTGATCCGACCTGCTCATAAGCATGAGACCGGCCTTGTAGCGACACCTGCAGACCAGGAAGACCACAACAACACTCAGCAGCACCAACGACAAAATTAGCCCGAAACTCACTCCAACAACAATTTCCCTGCCAGGGATGTGCAAACCTCCGGATGTGGTGTCCGTGTTGGTTTCGGTGAGGATGAGTTTGAAGGTGACCTCCGAGCGGCCTGCGCTGTTCTCAGCCACGCACTTGTAATCGCCCTCGTCAGACCGCGTTAGGCGCTGTATCTGAAGTCGGCTGGTTATTATTGTCGGTGACGATAATGATGATGAGGACGATAATGAGAAGGAGGAGGTAGAAGATGATTTATGATACTTAGAATTTAGGATGTCATCATGCGAACTGAAATAGTTGTTCATGTCAAATTGATGCTGGTTATTTGCGTCCAAGAAAGTGTTTGTGCTATTAAAATAATTTCCCCAATCATTCTTATTATAATGTTTGTAATTTTTGCTGTGAATATTATAATTTGTATCATTTAAATCATTGCTGCTTTTCTTAAACTCTTCATCTTCAGCCTTCTCTTCTTCTTCATCATTCGGTTGAATTTTATTGACCGTAATATACTTATTATTTCCATTATAAATATCCCATTTTATGATATCGTTATTATCATCATTAAAATCTTTATTATCATTATTAGCTTCATCATGATTTTTATTGCTACTGTTTGTGTTATTGTTATTATTGTTATTAATGCTGGCCCTGTACCAAGTTATGGTCGGCAGCGGGCTACCGTAGGCCACACACGTTATGACCCCTTGACTTTCAGCTTCTTCCTGATGATCGTGACGATGTTGGTAGTGGTGATGGTGATAACGGTGGTCTTCTATTCGCACTTTTTGAACGGTAGCTGACGATTTGGCGTTAAGAATGCGAGCGGCGCACGTGAACTGGTGGTGCTTCAGCTGCACCCAGGCCACTTCTTTCAAAATTTCTGGACTGCTGCATGTCGGCGAGTTTTTCGAAAAGTTCCAATTTAGCGACGATAAGTCGAGCAGCTGTTTCAACCATTTCAACCCGCAGTCACATCTCCACGGATTGCCACCTAACCTTAGGACCGAAATTGTTTTTGGTACGAAATGTTGAGAGTTTTCATGTAGGGTGGTGAGGTTGTTGTTGTTGAGATTGAGTTCTTGTAGAGATTTCAAATCCGACATGAGATAACCGTCAAAAATTTTCAGCTGACATCTTTCCAAGTTCAAAACTTCGAGGTTAAGAAGGTTTCTAAAAGAGCCTTTCTCGATCGTCTCAATGGGATTGTTTTTTAAAACCAAACTTTTTAAAGATAATAAGTTTGAGAAAAAATATTCTTTGATTTGAAAAAAATTGTTAGATTCAAGATCAATTATTCTGACGAGTTTCAAATTGTCGAAAGTGTTTGGATAGATGTATCCAACCCTGTTGTTGGAAAGAACCAGCTCGTAGAGGTTGGGGTAATTACTGAAGTCCTCCTCCTGCAAGGTCGCCACGTTGTTCCACGACATTTTCAGAACTTCCAAATCTGCATCGAGATTTCTAGGGATGTGCTGGAAGTTTCGGTTGATGCAGTCTGCCGTTTTCAGTCGAAACATCGTGACTATGTTACATCGCTTGTTCATGCTCTCATCTCTGTTTGCCAGGGTGTTAGTTTTGTTGTTGATGTTATTTGCGTTGTTGTTGCTGTTGTTGTTGTTGATATTGTTATTATCATTTTCGTTTTTGTTGTTTTTAAGGCTGCGAATGATTTTTTTAATCTTTGTGATGTTTGGGCAAATTAAATTATTTTCGTAAACTGTTGAATTATAAAAATCATTATAATCTTTTGCTGTTGTGTTGATGTCTTGGTTGTGATTCTTGTTGTTGATGACATTGTTGAAGATGATGGTATTGTTCTTTATATTGGTGGAGTTAATGTGTG